GTGAGGACGACGAAGGTTTGGCAAATTACCAACGGTTGGTTGTGATCTTATAATATTAAACGTTAGCGTAAGAGCTGTTTGAGCCGTAATTGAAGGGGACGTCAAGTTTCATTAATTCGCCCTGGTAGTCGACTTTTCTGTATTCTCTGCTCACCATTAGTACTAACTCACCTACAAGCATCCACTATTTGTTCATCCTCTCTCTTATCCCTCTCTTTTTTCCCCTCCACATAAAAGCGGCTGCTGACTGGAGCACAGTGGCGGAGGCGCAGGCCATCGCCCTGCCGCCGCAGTGACGTCAGAAAACCGCACCGCATACGCGCATCGGGTGAGTTTTCCCTCCTCCGCCCTCTGCGCGGAGGAGGGAAAACTCCTCCGCGCAGAGGGCGGAGGAGGGAAAACTCACTCGATGCGCGTATTGTGCGACAGTAAAATTTTGGGCAAAAGAAGGAAAATTCGGGAATTTCCCAACGTGTGGATTGTGGAAATGCCTGGAAAGAGGTAAGAGTAGGATGCGGAAGAGGGGTCGTATTTTCCACGTGGTTTCCCGTTCATGGAGGCGGAGATGGTGTAGTGACAAGTGGGGCGCTCACCATTCGCGCGGTCCCGGGTTCGAATCCCGGGTCGACTCCCGCCCAGGCCAACCAAGCCTTCTACCCTCCGGGACGTGGAATTGTAAGTCCAAGATTCGTCTGGAGGATAAAAAACACTGACTTGTACATCGGCTGGCCACCGCAAGTCATTGTATAGGCCACATCGCATTCAATAACCCACTACGATTCTGAATGGAAGTAGAATGCGTGCCGCATCCCACAAAGGGATTGATCAACGGCGAAGACTTTATCCTTATCCTTATCCTTCCGTTCATGTGCTTATACGCTGCTCACCTCAACCCACAGCTCGGTGAGGACGGATGTAGGGGGGGGGTGGGTCGTACCAACCTCACCCTCCCCCACCCAGAAAAATGGGGCGTCGTGCAGACTCAAAATCCCCAAATAATGATGTGCCCTGCGAGCAAAAAGTCTTCATAATAGGCTTACAAAGATATCTTTGCAAATACGCGTACTGACGGATCCTGCGTATTCGATTTCAAATAGTGTGTATCGCGACTCTACGCTAAAAACGTGTCTTTCCTACTTCATCGCGCTTCAGTGCCTGCAGTGCCAAGTGTCACCTGCTGTTTCTAATCATTCTGGTTTATACATGGAGAAGGATTCAGCTTTTGTTTTTTTTTCGCCGTAAGATGGTTCAACTCCCTCTAACTGCTTTGAATTTGATGGAGTTGTCTTCCCTTCTTCATAATTTTTTCCTCCGAAGGTCTCCTGGATCTTTAGAAAAAGATTCAGCTGTTTTTATTGTGGACTCTGGAGCAGGGTACAGAATCGTGATGTGTGGAATGGAGCTGTCAGTACGACCCCACCAAAGGATCCTGGTACGACCCCCCCCTCTCCGGCTCTAACTGTTTGCTCTGACGAGAAGGATTAGATACGTAACGACTCGCAAGCGCTTGCGGCCGCGTTATGATTCCATGGCAAATTAGCGGTGGAGCAGATCTGTTGGCGGGTGGAAATCGGGGGGCTTTTTTAGGTGTGGGGTTTGTGAGAAACGGAAGGCGGCTTGTTAGAGCAATGCCTCTATGTTGCGTTCTCTACCTGCTTCTTCCTCCGTTTGTATTTCGGATGGGTTACGGACGCGTTAGTGGTGAATCGCGAGCGAGTTTTCATGTTTCAAACGAGAATAACCCCTTTCAAACGCGATCTTCCAAGCCAAAAACGCAGTCAGAGCGCCCAATATTTTCTCTTCCCAAAAACTACATTTTTCCTGAATACCTCCTAGTTTGAAGATATTTTAGATGGGTCACCCATTCTGAGACACTCAAAAGGTTGACTCCTTCTGTGCCACTGCAAGGGTACTCATTCGCAAACTTCTAGCCTTCGAAACACATGTTCCTGTTGAACTGACTCAAAGCATAATTTGGTTATCATCGATCAATTTTGTGTGCGCCCCGCATACCCTTCTACGCAGAGAAGGTGGTGTAACTTCTGATTTTAGGTGGTTACTTCCACGCAGATGTTTGTTTAGGGTTTGGAAAGGTCGATACGCATGAATCTGTTTGAGATGTATTATTTAGTCATCTACATACTTACGAGTTCATGTATATTGCTAACCAATTGTTTTATTATTTTGTAGTATTCCTTGCGTCCGGGTCCACTGCAGCTTTCCATCCGCTCAATCAAATTATTGTGCTGTTTGGACTCACTGGCCCTGCGTTTACGACCCCCCCCCCCCGCCCCAGCGGCCAAGTACGCCGAAGCCGAATTCGCACAACGATGCTGAACCCTGCTCTAGAGAGCGCTCAGAGAAGGACACTTTCAGGACCAGTGTGGAGGATATTTACGATGAGAGGGATGGATATAAGCTCTGTGCTTGGCTTCACTAGATGCTTTTCTGATGTCACCTATGTCACTCAGGACAACAAGGGATAAGCACTTGAGCTATTATATTGTTTAATGATAAAGAACTCATGGATGAGCACATAAGTGAGGAGAAGATCGCCGACCGCAGTCATGATAGGTTCAGAGACGAACTGTACACTGGCTTCCGTGATCTGATCTTTGCTGTGTGGGGTGAGAACGAGTCCGCGGCTGCAGAAGCGTGAAACTTTCTCCAGTCAAAGCCCTAGGGGAACAAGGCTAAAGGATGATTCTCCCCATGCCGTCTCCATACTCCGCCTGAGCTGCCGCCGAGCTAGCGACACACGTGACCCGAACGCGCCACTTGGCTTAACCCTCTCACTTCTGATTGTTCTCTACCGCACAGCGCAGTTTCTCGTCGAGATCTACAATTAGTATTGACGCAAATGCTGCATCTTGAGGAGAGTGGGCGAAGTATGGAGACGGCAGTCGGGTACCACCACCCTACAGCTCCATTCCCGTGTACCCTGGAGCGAAAGGAACAGGCACGACACTAGGGTCACGAACCTATTGGCGAGATCACCTCAGGAGGAGAGGGTACGGTCTATCTTTGAGGCTAAGTTGTACTGGATTGTCATTAGGATGTAGAGCGCGGAAGTGAAGCTCTACTACTATGATCGGCGGCATCGCGCTTATTGGCAGTGTATTTCTTAGCTAGTTCATGAGATAGACGCAGGTCCTAGTTGGCTTGAGATATGCAGACGCAGAGAGAGTTGATGTGCTACAACACTGTTACGTTGAGTGGACTAGGTCCTGATGTGAGTGTTTCGTATGTCATCCCGCTCGCAACGCTGCGACCTGGGAGTCGCTCTACCTCCGGCCTTTTATACTTTGCTGATGAGCACTACGGAAGCGAACAATGGCAACAGCCATGACAGTCCGCCTAAATGAAGCTACTATCGCGGAAACACCGCGATTCTCCGATCACAGATCAATAGGCGCGGATCAAATCCTCGCGATCGCGCGGGAGCGCGCCAAAACGGGCTATAAATAGCGGGAGCAGTCCAGCCGCTCTCAGTTTGCACTTTCTTCCTTTGCTCCGCTTCTCTCCTAGAAATCTATTATTGATCTTTCTGCGAACTAGCGACTTCGATACCAGAAACTCTCGAGATCTCTTGACTCCTTGCTGGTATCCTTGCGATTATGGCGATTATGCGAGTTCTGTTAATAAGGTTTCATTGCGTGTACGTCTATTGTGTTCTTCCTTTATGTTGATTCTTATCGTTTTCGTTATTATTCGTTATTTATGTTTCCTTAAAGTTATCTCGAAATTGGTTCTTATTGTTTTCGTTACTCTTCGTTGTTTATGCTCCCTCGAAGTTATCTTATTCTTCATTCTTCTCATGATTGTGTGTCATTTGCCTGTTGTATTTTTAAACCCACTTATGGTTGATTTGTTATTCACCTCATCTGCGCTACCTTTTTTCTCAGGTTATTGAATTCATTTGAAGATCTTATCCGTTATAATAATCTTGCCTTATAATCGTGCATTAAAGTTTAATTACCCAAGTTTGAGGTGTTGTCTCGCTTTGCTAAACACACACTGAACCACCACCGCTCCCCATCCTTTTTATGGTGCATCGGCCAGCCTGAAGACAACCTGGACGCGAGGTACGCTTTGATAGCCCTTTTTAATTTGGCGATTGGAAGCGAAAGCAATTTCATTTTATCTCATTCACTTCTTATTGCGATTACAACTTTTTGCGAGTTTCTCTTTTTTTCTGCTTCTAGTTTTTTGCGACGTTTTGAGGCGAAGTAGGAATATTGATAACGTTCAAAATTCTGAGTTAAACAATGAGCAAACAAACACAGTTAACATCGCAAAAGGGGTTGTTAACGAGATACACAAACATATTGAACCAGGTAGTTGCCAAATATCAAGAAAGGGCCAAAGCGGAACAATCCCTACAGAAGCTATGTGAAATCTCAGCAGAACTCGACAGGACCTCCAGCATCGTGGAAGAAACACTCCAGAAATTCACATTGATGGTATTTTCAATTACCCAAAAAAACCTTTTACGAAGCCACTTAGTGACGATTTCTTTGCTCTTATCACGACATCAAGACCATCACGACTCGAATTTTCTCAAGAATATTCCCAGTTTTGCAAATGCGAATGCGAATCGAAATGACGATCCGAACAACTGACAACTTACTCGATTTTTCGACAACTTCCAGTAACACTAAATTGCAGACCTGAAGAAAGAACTTCGACAAGCACAAGCTCAACTAGAAAAGATCAAGTCAGCACTTCCGCCACTGCCAACACCTGGACAAACTATATCAAGACATAGTTCATTGCTGTAGTGAAGTACTCTATCTCGTCGATCTCATTGATAATCTTAAAGAAGATATCTCTTATTTCTTTGATAACAATGAACCTTGGAAAATCCTAGAGCGCGAAGCCCGCATCAAGGAGTTGACTGTTGAAAACTATTCTCTAAGATTGCATCTTCTGCGAAAGCAACTCTCTCTCTCGCTCTCTCCCTCTCTCTCTTCTACTCGACTGTTCCCGTTATTATTTCTATGAATATGATCTCCGAGAAGGCATGGGACTCACAGATGAGCACTCCTCAGCACTATATGAACACATCTGGAAAGAAGTTCCCGTTGCCGACTTCACAAAGGGCAATCGAGCGGATCCTGGCCGACCAAGAAGAAGTGATCAAGGAGCTGTTTACGAAGAACAAGCGAATCTGCGACTCCCTGAAGGAAATCAAGGAAGAACTCGACCAGTTGCGAGGAAGTTTGCAAGACAATCGTGATGGGCGAGTCAGCGAAAGCGAACAAGCGAGAATCGCAGAAAATGTGGAGTTCATGGAGTCTGTCCAAGAAGAACAACCACAACCACCGGACGAAGAAAAAGAGTCTATATTCGAAGAGATCCATCATCTCGAGCAAGAACTGAAGCAAGTCCACAACAAGATACGCGAACTTGCCGCTCTCCGAAGATGTCGTCCTAGACAATATGAAGAAGGAATCACACGTGAAGAAGAGACAACGATGCGATGCGCTTTCTGCTTTGCTGAAGGAAGGCACTATTCCGATTCCTGCCCCGAAGTCCGGACAGTGGAGGAGAGATTGGATTCACTGAGAAGAAGGAGACGCTGTACCATCTGCCTGGACATAGAATGCGATATGGGCTATTTCTGCCCGAAATACAGCAAAAGATGCCATCACTGCCATAAAGCCGGACACGCCTCCGCAGTATGTACGCTACCAGAAGAGTCCTTGGATATTCTGGCTCGAAAACGCGATTACGAGATCACCGCCGATCAGATCCTGAGACGTCTGGAAGAACTGCGCAGAGCTCTCTGAGCCCATGTCGACTCGTCCAAAAGGGGGCGGAGTATCGCGGAAACACCGCGATTCTCCGATCACAGATCAATAGGCGCGGATCAAATCCTCGCGATCGCGCGGGAGCGCGCCAAAACGGGCTATAAATAGCGTAATAAGGTTCCATTGCGTGTACGTCTATTGTTGTTCTTCCTTTATGTTGATTCTTATCGTTTTCGTTATTATTCGTTATTTATGTTTCCTTAAAGTTATCTCGAAATTGGTTCTTATTGTTTTCGTTACTCTTCGTTGTTTATGCTCCCTCGAAGTTATCTTATTCTTCATTCTTCTCATGATTATGTTGTGTCATTTGCCTGTTGTGTTTTTAAACCCACTTATGGTTGATTTGTTATTCACCTCATCTGCGCCTACCTTTTTTTTCTCAGGTTATTGAATTCATTTGAAGATCTTATCCGTTATAATAATCTTGCCTTATAATCGTGCATTAAAGTTTAATTACCCAAGTTTGAGGTGTTGTCTCGCTTTGCTAAACACACACTGAACCACCACCGCTCCCCATCCTTTTTAGCTACTGAGATGGTCTCAGGGTGATAAATAAGAACCGTCAGGGCTATGATACAGACGATCAGCAAAGGCTGAGGTGAAGCGGGATCGGCAACGATTGACAGCAGCGCATTCCACGTGTCTGGAACATTACTGGCGGCATCGCAGAACGACTTGACTTGGTAGGGAGAGCCGACGTGCACCGCCCCTGCCGTGTTGAGTGAGTTGGGTCCTGGTACGAACACTGCGTACGAAACCCCGGCTATTTTGCCAACGCTCCGCAACCAAATCCCTGAAACACTGCGTACGAAACCCCGCGGCTATTTTTGCCACCGCTACGGCAACCCAATCCCACCACGCTGTTGCCGGGCTTCGAAACAAAATCCAGGAAATGTCGGCATGCGCTCATGAGGACAACAGACCAAACATTCTCAGAAAGAACAACATCAAGTGCCTTCTGAACCCCGTAGATGCTTTTATGCTGTAATTTGAAGTATCTGGAGCTACAGCAGGCTTTCCGAATACACTATTATGTAATGCAAGTGTTGTCGATAATACTCAGTCATCAGCTGGCTGATACTAGAGGTTAGTCATAAGCGATTTTGTGATGAGCTTACCGGGCGTAGAAGGCAAGGTCCTCCTGGCGTTCAGTGAAGCGATGGGAGGCGTTCCATCGAAGTTCCAGTACGTTTCAAGCGTTGGAGAGTATCCCAGCTTTTCATTGTTCTAAATATTGAAAAGGGGATGGAAATGTGTGCTAGAAACTCCGTCACTGTTTGCAATCACAAACTTAGAATCTCATGTTCCAGGACATGTTTTCACCTAAGGGGGGGTTCTTCCAGCAGCCACTCCGTTGGCTTTCGGAATGACCACGGGCAGATTCACTTGTAGAGCTCCGTTCTCTCACAAACAAGGGCAGTGCTCGAGGTGAGGCGTCAGCGTTTTGTCTTACTGGAGCGCCCTTAAACGCTGATTATATTGACGGAAGGCAGTCCTTACGGTGCTGCTGAGTCATTAGTAATTTGGTCCTAGCTCTCTAGACCGTTGAGGGGAGATGTGGAACGTCAAGGCGACAGTCATAGTTGTTCACTGGTCCCGCCCATCCCATTATCGGAGACTGTGCTCAAATCTCTATTGTCCTCTTCAGTGACGCTTTGTTTTGTACAACATAAAACAGATGACATGCGTTGGGAAGCGACGTTTTTTTCTCGTTTTCTTCTCTGACAGCCCGGCGTTATTCCTTATTCTTTTTTGTTCACTTTGTCACGAAACCGTTTTTATTCACTATCATAACAAGGGTTTCATGGGTCCCGCGATTCCACATAGTGTATGAGAGAACCCACCAGAGAATGACTGCAAGTGTGGAGGGCCGCATTAAAAATGAACCTGACTCCAATGTGTTGCACGCTACACTATGGAAGTGTGATTAGGTGTGCACAAACAAGGCGATATTGTGACTTTCCTTTTAGTTATAACTCTTTCATTTTTACTGATTGTTAGTACCCGGTCCACCCACATGAAAAGTGTGTTCACCTCTAAGCATCTAATCGCGATTACGGTAGATTTTCTTCGCTACGACCCCCCCCAACACTGGGTGAGCGGGCGTGAGGGTGGACCAACTGCTGGAGGTGGCAAAGTAACACAGAAGCTGAACGTGCTATAGCATGTCTCCCTCTTACCGTTCTCTTACCACCGTTCCACTGTCGCTCATCCCATTCGATGGTATTTCGCTTTACGCTTGTAGCTCAGAATTTCATTTATTTATGCTATCAAGGTCAATCCATCGAAATCTTTGTCAGGAGCGACTGAGATGAAACGGGTTAGTCCTAGGCAAATATATATACGAAGGCCCAGGCTTCAGAAGGATTCATGAACGCCGATCGTGTCCATGAATTAGCCCTGCTGTAGCCTTTCTCATGGATCCGTTCTTTACTTCCTGATCCCATATGAGACTATATCAGAGGAGAGGCACCGGCACCAGGCAACAACAGCGTCTTAGATCGGGGCCCATACAAGCAAGAATAGACTGTGCGTTGAAGCCAGGCCACCTACTGCGATTTGCAGTCTCGGTGGTCTTTCTCGACATTCCAGTTGACTGAGCTCGTGGCTGCTGAAAGCTACGAGCCGCAAGGCAACTAGTGCAGCAAAACACCCGTTAGCAAAAAGTTCAGGCCATATTCGATTTCGCACGGTCGAGGGGCGTTGTTACCGGTAAACAGCGACCAATTAGGTTCCAGATACGCAAATTCAGCTTATTTGATGGCAGACGTCCATAGCTTCATTCTGGCAGTGGTTTGAGTGATGCTACTCTCACTTGTTGGTTCCTAGATCTTGAGTGGTGGTAAGCAGTTGATGCGGTATATTAGTGACAAATGGCAAAAAAAATCGAAGTAAATGTCAGTCAACGCTTGCAAAAAGCCTTTGTGGCCATTCGAGCTGACAGAAAGCAGTTTTGGAACGAGTCCGTGTCTCGGTGTCGTGCCAATAACCGCTACGGTAGATACAGCTCCACGTACAGTCCTCATCATTGTGGACTGTCGGGGCGGGTTCGCCGCGCTGCACTGTGAGGCGACAGCGGCTGCGGCTCGGTGACGGGGAATCAGCTGATTTCCATGGAATTCGGCTGCGAATTCCCACTTTTTCAGCTCTTCAAGCTTCGAAAGTGGTGAGGGCTGTGAGCTATTTCCTGGAACAAATTCTAAATTGTACTCGCGGAATGGAATGCGAACCCAGAATGCACCCGCCCTTCCGCAATAATGCTGAGCAGGCAATTACGATACAATAAAAGAGCATAATAATAGACATAAAAATGTAGGAAAATCAGAGCTAGTCAACTTAAATGTTCGAAATAACTCACCTTTCACTTTCGAAGCTTCAAGAGCCGAAACGGAAATTCGCAGCCGAATCCCATCGAAATCAGCTGATTACCCGTCACCGCAGCCGCCAGCCGCTGTCTGCGCTCAGAGATGTGCAACGCGCTCACCCGCCCCGGCAGTACGCAGTGATGAGGACTGTATGTACTCATATATCCATGCGCCATCGCAGCCACTTCATATCGATCCCTCAGCTTCATATTGTACATCGTAAATGAAGCGATAGGAGCATCAACATCGGTCGTCCATTTGGGCGATCGCGTCGGTATGCTGCAGCCTGATGGGCGGTCTATTAAGTGTAACCTCTTGAGCAAGGCGCCCGTGAACAAGGAGCAGCGGCTAACTTCAGGGGGCGTCGAACTTCTGCCTGCTAAGCGTAAGCAATCTTAACATAGTTTGGACACTATGCATGATCGCTTTCTTTCAAACGATATCCCTACTGTATATATAATCCGCTAATTGTGTCTGGCTGTCTTGTGTGTCTTTTTTTTGACCGGAAATTCATAACTTCTTCAAAACAGCGATAAAGCGCTCAAATTGATAAGTAATGTAGGAGGTCTAGGCAGGAACATTATTGGTGGGTGGCAGAACGTGATAACAGCTGATAAGGGGCGTTAGAAGAGGGAGGTCATTAACTCTGTAGCGTGGGCCACAGCAACGACTGGACGTTGGTTCCAAGAAGTAAGATAGGGGCAGGATGGGAACATTATTGGTGGGTGGCAGGAAGTGATAACAGCTGATAAGATACCATAGGATCTTTTTGGAAGGGGGTGCTCCCAAAGTTCATAGCACGAGTTGTCAGCACTGGGGAACTACTGCCAGCGAGTCATACACAAGGGTTAAGGAATATCGGTGGAAGAAGATAATTTGTGATATAGTGTGAGAAAAGAGCTTATAAGGATCAGTATCTGTTCGCATCCTTACTCTGCTTGGCCTGAACTTCAGCACCGGTGCCCAAGAAACAATGGGCAGAAGGCTTAGTGAGTTATTCTATCCCTTAGCGATATGGTCGGATTGATTCGACCGCTAAACTCTCGAGTTTCGACAAAAAGTAAAAGCCCTGAAAGCTGCTTAACGGAAGTACTAGGATGTGAGGATATTTCGCTGTTGATGTTATTACCATCGGAAACTCTTTCAACCGCTAAGCTGTCCTATTTCCAACGAATGGTGAGTGTTTTTTTAGAAATGTGATAAGCACCAGACATCATTGTTCAAATGTCAATGCAAATGTTCATCAGACAGGAGAAATATAATGAAATGGGCCGCATTTCAAAACGAAGGAGTCAGGCCAGGTGTCAGGGGTCAGTGCAGAAATCCTGTCAGTTAGAAGTACCATTACCATAGGTTCAACCATGCGCGCAGTAGTGCGCGTCAGCCAAGCTGGTATTTAATGAAACAACATGAGTGTTTATATACCAGAGAAGGTGCCGAGCACAAGGAGCGTTCCACCTTGGTGGTGCAATGAATGATCAAGGATAAGGTGGGGTACATGATTCTCGGTACTTCTCGACATTAGCGATTTAGTCGCATTTCTCCAGCTGACTTCTGAGACATGCGACTGCGGCGGTAGCGCAGGACAACCAGTGAGGAGCGCAGCCACGCCCA